AAAGAGTGCCCTCACTGGCTATTAGATAAGGAAGAAGTCCCAGCTTCTTCTGGTGTTTAAATAGTAGTAGATTAACCTACCATGCCACAGTTTCCCACAGCAAAGGACATAAGAGGAGAGAACCCCAGCATCCTTTCTTTGTAAGCAAGCAATCCCAGAGTGCTGGTAGGTCTAAGAGAATTCATCTCGGTGTGAAACAATGACACAGAAAGACATAGCCCTATAGCAACACTGCCGTATAGATACATCCTCATGGTCAGCTGCTGTAAGACACCTCACTGTCTCCAAGCAGCATTACTGTAAAGGGATCATAGATCCCCATATTACTTGTTATTAAGAGATGCTGCAACTACCATTGTGCAAACCTATTTCATGCCCTCCTGGTGGACAGAAGCCTTAAAAACAGAAGCTATTGCAGGACTCTCCACAGCAGGCTCAAAATTTGGGATTAAAATGAGAAAAGAATGAAGAACCCCTTCTCCCAGGAACTGTTATGTTCCCCATCGTTCAGGAGAGCTGCTCCAGTGATAGGGAGTAGCTCAACTTTAGGAAGCTAGAGCAGGGGTGGCCAACTCACAGCTCCGGAGTCCAAACTGAGTAATGTGCTCACCACGAGCAGTTGTGTCACATGATGTGATGCTATGGCTATGGAAAGTGGTCACTGTGTGCTTGTGCAAAGATTCAAGGAGATGCATATTCATTTCTGAAGAGCCACATGTGGCTCCAGAGGCATGGGCTGGCCACCCCTGAGCTAGAGGGAAGACAGAGATGGGTAGGAAGTAGGAGACAGTGTCCAACCCAGACCCCATATGCAGAAGGAGAAAACTCCTGTTGAAGCCAATGGGAACTGTGTCCATGGAAAAAAAATAGCAGGACTTGGCCTCTCAAAAATGTCACCCCAAGATGGCAAATGACAAACCTTTTTCTTCAGCTAACTACTAGTTGCTTGCTCAGGTACTGGTGACTGTGTAGCTGCAGTGGTATTCAAATGAGCTTGGAAGTGGAGTGGGAGGTTTGGGGGGGAGGGAGGGAGCTACTGCTGCAGCTCCAGTACCCAGTAGACAAACCACCCAGTTTGCAGCTGGCCCAGGGATAGGAACACAAACTGGAGTCACACTTCTGCTCTATAGCCTGAAAAGAGGTTGCCTGAGGCCAACCAGGCAGAGTCATATCTGAATGTGGGTGCAGATGGCTCGGAAATATTAACCATTTCACATCAATACTGATGGAAGAAGAAGAAAGATAAACCAGAGGGAAAACAAGAACAAGATGCAAGAGAAATGCTCCCTACCCCCAGCTTCAAAGAGCCTATGCCAGGTCCCATGTATCGACATCAAGGTGACACAAAGCAGGGAGGAGGGAGACAACAAAATCAATTTCTCCTGGCGGCAGCTACTTTTTTCTTCTCCTGAAATGAAAAGAATGTCCTCTTCTCCCCTGTGGCCACAATGAATATTTCATCAACAAAACAAAACATCTTGGCCTTAATATATTTCCCTACCTGACCAGCAGGACAAGCACCAGATCACTGATCCCTCTCTAGGCTTCTAAAGCCATATATGGCCACTTAGGTGAGCAATCAAGGATCTGGGAGCAGTTAAAATAATCAGACACATCTCAGCACAATGGGTTAGAGGCACTAAACAACTACATCCCTTCAGGAAGTTGATGGGACTCCACAAGTTACTCCCACAAATGATTATATTTTCAAGGTGGACATATCCTCTTGTTTCCATTGAGCAAATGGGCCCCTCATGTAATGCCAGAAAGATCTACTCCTCTCTCCTGCCATCCTTCTCTCCCCTTCTACTTGTGTTCCTCATCACTGCAGAGCCTAAACACTTTGGATTTTGTGAACTGAAGACAACAACATTTTTCCAACTACATCTTCTGTGTCTTCAGGGCACCAGAAGGAAGAAAGAAGGGAAATGTATGACCTGCTTTGGACCAGGCAATTCAGCCAAGCACAGCTACCATCGGTTCCCCTTATAATGTCTCCCATTTCAAAAGAGTACAGTCTAGTGACTAGAGCAGCTGGAGAATAAATATTTTTGGTTTAGGTTTCCAGCTTTGTTAAGGGCCTACCCAACCCAATGGGACTTAAAATGGACTCTTAAATCTTGCTCTACATTCTCACACAAGCCATGCCTACCTTTGTGTTTCCAGCTGCGTGATGGATGCCTTACCTAACAGAAGGCAGGGTAGATGTGCACCTTACACACTAACTAAAACAGAAATATACACCTCATACAAACTCTGTGGGGCAGTATTTATAAAATGCTTTGAGGTATTTCTCTGAGGTGTTTGGAGTTACAAAGCATTGTTTCCAGTCTTAGCCAATACACTTTTTTCTTTTTCTGGTGTCTGACCACCTCCCTCCGCTGATCCAAGATATTTGGGCAGAGAAGGAAAGTACAGGTGCAAAGAGGAAAAAGGATGCTTGATTTGGTGAGAAGGAGGAAAAGAAATAGGACGTTGCAGAACAGGAAAAGAATGGGTGTTGTAAATGCACTGCATTCTATATTGCTCTTGGCAAATACACACACAGGATTAGTACCCCAAACCTGCCTCCTTCTCAGGATTTGCCTTCATGGTTAAATTTACTGGAGCATAACCTCAAGTTTGGCTTATTCCTAGACACTTCTGCGTTTTCCCCCAATTACTTCTCCAAGGTCCAGGGATCTTGGATGGGAACTAATGAATTTCCCCTGGCCTGAAGAAACTAGTGAGGCAAAGAGCCAGGCACAGGGCTAGTAAGAATCAATGGAAGGTGGGATAAAACACCAATAGACAGGAGGGGCTTGCACTTACATGGAGATGGGGACCAAGAGATGAGCCACCAGGGCTAGGGATATCTCCTCTCACTCACCTTTTTCTCATCCCCCTCTTGCAGGAGCTGCAGGTGGCTCCTCTTCTCGCTGTCCTTCCGCAGAGAGTTGCTCTGGTGCTGTGGCAGGCCTGTGGGTGGGGACACACTCCGGCCCTGGGGATCCACCCAGGAATAGATGTGATTGGTGACATAGCCCCCTGGGATTCGCCCAACTGAATGCACAGAGAGGTTCAACTTCTTGCAGCCTTTCAGCGCCTGCAAAGCAGACCAGGAGATAAAGGAAATTAACTCCAGAGCAAAAGGGAAACAGTAAGTAGTAGTGCAGATGGGCCAGTGATGACAAGGCTTTGCATTGCCATGGAAGTGTTCAATGGAAGAACTGCAAGTGCTTTAAAATATGCAGCTGGGAGAGGGACAGAGGGATCACTCTTTCTGCTGAACAGACACTAAATCTCTCATCTGGCATTGCAGCAGGAGCCTGAGCACCAAACCAAGGTCCATGGACTCCACTCTGGAGGCCAGGGACCAAAATGTTAGGTGGTATAGCACTCAACATCAAAACCTCAAAGTCCGTTTGTGAAGCCTGCCCTAAATGATTGAATTAAACCCCACGGGAGGTCAATGCAGAGCTGGGAACTGAACTGGAGATTTCACTCTCCCTCCTGCTCAGGAGAAGGGGTCAGATAAGGACAAGGTTAGACCATTAAGAGGAACTTGTGTTTAGTAAACTGGTCTTGCCTTTACCCATGGCTTGATCCAAGGCTTACTGGAGTCATTGGAAAGATTCCCATTGATTTCAGGCCCCTTTGGATGAAGCCCATAGCAGTTTAGCTTCCAGTGTCATTCATTACCTTAAGTTTCCCCAGCACAATTAGCAAATACAACAATTATTCTTTCTTCCCAAAAAAATCCAGCCCATATCAAGGAGACCTTGAGATACAGATGTGCCTGTTTGCTGGTTGCCCCTCTGCCTCTTCACCTTGTATAGCAAAGGGCTCACGTATGATGTATAGTAAAATTAAATTAATTAACATTATGGGAGCTGTCCCCAGGGAGAGCTCTAACAGCTGCTCACATTTCAGGCCTCAGTAACAGTGAACTTCAGCATTTGCAATTAGATGGTGGATGCTTTGCCTTTTTAACATATATGTGCCTTGAAGGCCTGCTCCTTTGAGGTCTTTTATGAAAGCCAGTTGCAGTGCCATGCCAAAGGGGATTTAAAAGGGAGAGGCAGGAAGAGAATAGCTGGTGCTGGCTGCTTTTGGAGACAGGATTCTGAACAAGATGTAACCTGGCTCTGATCTGGTCTGACAACTAGTTTTTATCGTCTCCTTGTTCACAGAGCCCTGTGCAAGTTACAGGAAGGAAACTATACACCCAGCACTCCAATTCCATGATTCACTTCCCTCAACATGCACATTGGGTACAAATTTAAATTACCCTATCCCACAAGGTTGTCATGCACTCTGAAAGCTTACAAGACCCATAAAAAGCAACCAATGGGCCACTGCCATAACAATAGGTCACCGAGGCAGCTGAGGCATCTAATTGTGAATACATATGCTCATTTCCACCAGAAAGCATGTGCTTTCCTAGAGTGAAACTCAAGGAAAACCCAAGGCTGCCCTACTCAGAGGCTAATACAATTAGAAATAATTCCCAGTACTTATACATGATCATAGAAGCATTAGCAAATGAATATAGGTCATTAACTAACTGGCCTGTTCAATGTGAGTGAACATCTTAAGCAAGGAAACTAGCTTCCATCATTCTAGCTACTTAAGACTATCCAAAATTCATATTGGGGCTCCTTCTGTCTCAGGCAGCTGCTAACTCCTGCTATGCTTTTAAAGTGTCATTTCCCCTCTTCACTATCTAGTAAGAAGACTGTTAAACTTCCAAGCCCCAATATGTGATGGGGAGCTATTATGACATGCAAAGACTCAATATGTGACAGTATATGTTACATATATGTTTACAATATATGTAAACTCTATAATACTGAAACACTGATGAATAAGAGCATAAAATCTCATATGATAGAATAAAAATGAAAATGTTCATGTTGAGAGTTATTTTTCACACCTTATAAATTGAATAGAAGATTACAGCCCTGCTACTGAAGTCCATAGGATGGAACAAAATAATCTATAGAAAGGATCCCATTCTCTACTGAATTCTGCTGAGGTTTAAAGCAATTTCTGGAAAAACCTCTTTCATTTCTAAAGAATGCAATTCATTTTGGCAAGGGCAGTCAGCAGAATCCCAATCTAAATACTGTCTTCTTTAAGCACAGCCCAACAAAGTGAACCAAAACAAAGGAATAAAAGCCTGGCAGAAAGTACAGACAATCCAAAATAATGGATGAGACCAGATTGTGCATCAGAAGACCTGGTTTCTGTTCACAACTCCAGTATGACTTGCTTTGTGATGTAGGACAAGTCACTTTACCTGCTCTGTTCCTGCTCCCACCCTCCTTCCATCTTCTCCATTACAGCACAAGGTCTTTAAGACAAGAACATCCTCTGTCCATCCACACCCTACCATGTTTGTGCTCACTCTGGCTTGGTGTAGGTTTCTAGGTGCTGTTATTCATAAACAGAGGATTCCCTTGCTTGAAGTTCAGTCCATGTCAATTTTCTCTGACTATGCAGCTTGTCCTTCCCTTGAATCTTCTCCCACACCTGCCTCCTAAGCAGTCCCTACATGGCGGAGATACCCAAGTTAGCTCTAGATGAGGTAGTTCAGGTGCTGGGAGCAGTTGAAGCACAGTAGCCTGGAACACAGAGCTCAGCTGGGGCTAATTGACCCTGCTGGGAGCAGGTGATCCATGCACAGGGATGCACTAATACTTCTAGGACTTCTGCTAACCTGGAGATTTCCACAGACATGGGTATGTGGGGACATATCCAGCTAGCCCGCTTCACTCCTGCTCCAGTAACACTGAGGGCTATGCTGATTCTCAGCAACCCCAGGATTAGTACAAGCTGTTGTCTTGGTGCTAATGCAGAGATTAATTCTCCTCTTGGCCTTTCTCTGAGCACCTGTGCAATGGAAGGGGGCAGATGAACTGAAATTAACCCCTTATTCACCTTTTGCAGCCAGTAGTGCTTGGGGCCAGTGAGGCTAAAGAGAAACAGGAACTGCCCAGGAGAGATTTCTCAGTCACTGGCAGTCCCTTGCCCAGTTCTTAACATGACCACACCTGATTTGGTCTATCACAAGCCTCAAACATAAGTTTGCAACGTATCCCGGGGAGAAAAAAAATGCAGCCCTTTGAAAGAGTAGGGAGGAGGGGAGGTGGCAGACAGCTATTGCTGGCAGGAGAATGTGAGAGAGCGGGAGCTGCTCCCTTCATTTTGCAGTTAAATGTCAGTCCCTGAAAGAGCAGGAGCAACAGGAGATCCATTCTGGGAAAGTGCAATAAAAAGTTTGAGATGATGAGAGGCCAGAGATTTACAAGGAACTTCTACCATCCCCCTGCAGTTCCCCTGACTGTACCTCTGGGGATAAGGAATCTCAATTAACAGGGAGATGTTTTATTTATAAAGGCAGCAGCAGAGACTCAGGGAAACTTGGAAAGTGAACTCTCTGGCCAGGCACTGAGGCAGCGGACTGGGCCAAGGCGCTCTGCAGGGAGGATGGAAGCAGCAATTGGGATGAGCGAGGCGAACGGAGGCAGGCTGTGTCTGCCACCACGTTGCCACAGACGGCTTCCCTGCTGCACCTCTGCCAATTGAATGACTCTCCCAGAGGGAGGAAGCATAGCTGCTCTGGTGCCCCATGGGCCATTCATCACTGTAACCTGTCTCAGACGGCCGGAGCCGACTTGAGGTGATATATAAATTGCTCGGTTGTTGGGCGGGCTGGTGAATGGAGAGGCAGACAAAGCGTATTGGTTGCAAAAAGCTTTACTTACGCCGCTAGTAGTCACGACGCAGGTGGTCCGGTCGCTTAAACAACTACACGAGTTGCTCCAGCTGGCAAGGCTCAGGCCAGCGAATCCGTCAGGCCGGCAGGGAAAAGGGTACGTTGAAGGATTGCGCTCGGCGACGGGGAGAAGAATTGTAGGTGATCAGGCTATCGATCAGCTCAGCCGCAAGTCAGGAATCTTCAAAGGCACTCTGCAGTGTGCTCAAAGTTCTCCGACTTGGGCGGAAGTCGCACAGAATTTTATACGGCTAGCAAGCCAATCACTAGCTGCCACGTAGG